ATTATAAAAAAATAATTATATTATTATTATTATCATTAATTATTATTATTATTATTATTATTTTTATTAGAGAAAAAATGCTAAATTGTACAATATTAGCTCAGAAATCTGAGAGAAAAAAGGCAAAACAATTCTATAAATTCCAAAAATAAAAGCACAAAATTAAAAGATAATAATAATAATAATAATAATAATAATAATAATAATAATAATAATAATAATAATAATAATAAAAGTAATTATTTGTAAAATTTACAATCAATTTCAAAATCGAATTTTTGCTCATTAGTTATCATTAATATAACTCTTTAATAACTATAACAATTGATCTGTAAAACACTGTTATTAACAAAGTGAATCAACATTAAAAAACTGGGTTAGATAATGCCACTAGTCTTTTTACACTTAGATAGCAAAAAGAAAATCATATACAAATCGAAGAACTGCAACACTATACAGGTATTTTTTGTTCATTACAGTGGAGCTGACTGAAAACTAACTATACTGTCTAAAAAGCATATAAATCTCCTATTGAATGCCTTATTACAGTTTACCTTTACATTTTTAAAATAGATAATTGGACTAGAATGCATGTGAAAGTAATATTAACTTTAATAATAAATTAGAAAGTAAGAATAAAATTGAGTTTGATATTAAGAAAGTAGAGCGGCGTAGTGACTCAGCACTGTCACCCTACAGCAAGAAGGTTGCTAGTTCAAGCCTCCGTTGGGTCAGTTGGCATTTCTGTGGGGAGTTTGCATGTTCTCCCCGTGTTGGCATGGGTTTCCTCTGAGTGCTTCGGTGGTCTGTGGTGTATGAGTGTGTGTGTGTGAATGTGAGAGTGTATGTTTCCTAGTAGTGGGTTGCAACTGGAAGAGCATCCGCTGCATAAACACATATGCTAGATAGTTGGCGGTTCATTCCGCTGTGGTAACCCCTGATGAATACAGGGACGAAGTAAAATTAAATTAATAAAGTACTAACATGGTTTCTTTGTAAAATTAGTAAAATGCACAAGCAGTATCTGATTTATATTCATGTATTCCTCACTATTTAGTTAGTGTTTCTCCTACATCGTCACACTTCGCAGTAACTTTTCACTTCCGAAACTATGTGAATGTCCCTTCTTGGATAATGAATGCAAACCTAAGCGTCCACCCAAGAGTTTTCCCCTAATTAAAACAGGAAGTGTAAAGTGTCTCGGGAGGACGCTGAACTTCACACGCCGTAATTAAAGTGTCCTTTATTCGGGCACTTCTCCTTCACTCCCCAAGCCCAGTGCATCACGGGAAGGTAGAGCAGTGAGGTTAATGAACTGATCCTCTCCTGTGAATAACTCACCTGAGTCCTGTGCAGGTGCTGATGGTAACATCTGACCCCTGGTGACCCATCACCTCACCATGATAGTAGCAGTGAATCTAGGAGACAAAGGAACAGCATTAATAAATAAACACTGGCAACAACACATCAGGGTATTTGACACGTCAAGTTTCTTTTTATTGATGTTTTGCATGCAGTTTATTAGAAATAAATCCTCAGAGGGCGTCAGGGGCGCAACTACACATTTACTGAGGGGTATGCAAGTGTTTTTTTAAGCATGTTAAGTCCCACCCTAAATTTCTTTTTAATTCCATTTTCCTCGCTAAATGATTATAGCACCTTGACATGACTTGACAGAACATAAAAAATGCAATCACTTCTCAAATGCATACTGTGAGAGGTTTAAGGTCTGCCTTTGAATGAACAACTGACTGAAGCTGCTATTACACCTCTCACAAAGTGAATTTAAAAAGACTGTAAAATGTTTAGTGTAAAAAATATTAAATGTTTTATTTTATTAAAATATTATGGGCACACTTTTTTGGAACTAAATTAAAATATATTTACGCACAAAAAGTTACCAAAAAGCCTGAAGTATCAATATGATGCATAATCCATTTATAAAAAAAATCTATATGGTATAAAAATGGGTCTTGATTAAAGGATTAATAAACATCTCCGTTCCAATAAATTGTATTATTGTGACTATTTGTTTATGTGT